TTTGCTGAAGATATATATACACATGTAATAATATAATAATCCATCGGTAATACACTGTCCTCGGTAGAGGTATGCTTATTAAATACGCTTGACGAATACACACTAACAATAACAACAAATATATATAACGCGCTCTATTGTTTTCTTTTTCGCTTCTCATTCGCTTTCTTACACGTGCATTGATAATAGTGATGGTAATAATAATAATAATAATAATAATCCGCAAATTTGATTATCTATGGTACAATTGGTTATCATCGATAACAAAGTTTTTTTTTTTATATTTTCATTTAAAGGCAGTTTTTTTGGCGTAGGCTCATCACGTGACACGCACAATTTCACATCCCAATGAAAATCACAAGAATAATAACAATAATAAATATTTTATACTTTCGTTGGAGCAAGTGCGTAAGGTGGGATGAACCTGCCAAATTTACTATCAAATTCGATGCAACATTCAATGATTTGTTTGTTTTTTTTTTTTTTTTTTTTTCTTAAGTTAAGCATGAATATTTAATCCAGGATCAAAGACTCGGTGACTATACACCCACACCTATTATACTTAAATTCCAAAACTTCAAGTCGAACGTTATTGGCATTGTATAATTATCTCGTTCAACTGACATGGAATGATGTTTACGTTTAAGTATCCACGTTTGATCAAACTCACGTACATTACGGAAAAGCTCAATAGCAACATGACTGTTACGATTGATTGCTCATCTCGTTGACAAGATTAGTTTTTAGGAAAATAATTTAAAACTAACTTTCAAAGCTTGGTAGGAGAAAAGCCTCAGCTTTTTTTTTTTTTATACAGCTTTACGTACTTGTAAGAGTATATTAATTGGTTAGTATTGATAAATAACAATTAACTCTTGCGATAAAATTAATACAAAAATGCCACTGACTAACAGGTTGACGTATCTGTCTGGTTACTACTGCCTACATGCCAATACTTTCGAAGCACAGCTTACATCACTTGTGTAGCATGCTGTGCTTATTGTATACACCAAAACAAGATTTTTCGATAAAACAGTTGGTGGTACGAGAAAGTAAAACAACAAGTTATTCACTACTGTGTGAAATTGCACTTTATAACAACGCCGCACCATAGGTAACACGAACGCAAAATTATTATAAAAAAAAAAAAAAAAAAAGTTCAATGTAAGCATTCTTTGCTCGCCAGCAAGTCAAAGATTCATAAGTGCGTTACAATTCGCACGATAGGATAACCATAAGTTACGTTATGTACTATTTATTATTGTTATTCATATGCAGTTTTTATACAATTTATTATATATTTATATAATCTGTATGGATGCAAGTGTAATACTATGTTTTCAGATTATGTTTATGTAACGAAGAACCTAACGATGTTCTATACATAGTTAAAATTAAAGAGGTAACAAGTGGTATAATTAAACTAGCCGCTTTATTGTCACCACGCTTGATTAGACCGCGTGAGAATTAGACAACGGTAAGGATAAATTATGGTAGTTATTTTTCGCATGACTGGAGTTTGGGTATCGGTTGTTGGTAAAAAAATATTTCGCCCGTGGAAAGGAATACTTATAACCAATAAACGATAAAACAGAAGTTACATTGGGCTATTTTTCATTTTCAAATATTTTCAAGAAAATTATTACTTGATATCGCGGGAAGTAACTATTTTTTGTAATGTTTTCACGTCTCAAAATTTTAGCACGTAATTTTCATTGAGAAAAATAAGTGATAAAATAGAAACAATCAAAAGATTGCCATAGCCGACATAAGTGAGTTCAGCTTATGTTATTAATCATCTTATCGATCTTAAAAAAAATCTACTTTTCATCAGAAACTTTCGGGGTTACAATAATTAAATATTTTCATGAAAAATTATAGCTGATGTTTTTATGACGAAAGTCCATCGATGTCAATGTCGGTAAAAAAATATTGCTTGCAAGCTTGGAATTATTGATTCTATATTCCGTAGACGTTGTTCAACAAATTGTAAACTTGCAAAATAAATTTAACAAATATATATTTTTTATAAAATCCGGTATCTTCAATCAACATATCGACCACTCTTTTATAATTTATGTTCTCAATTATTTTAAGCGAAAAGTTTTCAAGTACTGAATCATTCCCACTCACGCAATTTATTAGCGGTCATTTATGTACAGATTAGAGCTGAGCTGCTGATTTTAATTTACACATAAGTACGATTTTACATCGATAATTTTAGACGATATTCTAAAAGTTTAAACAATTTTGGAAATATTTTCAATGGCATCATTGAGATTGACTCAACACAACAACAAAAATTCTCTGAATCATTAATTCAAGATTTTTAACAAATTCAAGACGAGAATATTTGTTTCATTGACCATCACCGTAGTATTTGTACTTTTATCGGTTCTAATTTATTCTGCTTTCAGCATATCAAGGTTTATAGTTTAATAGAGAAAATAGGAGAATTTCTAGCATATTTTTTGGTTTACAATCACATGTTTGAATAATAGATATGTAAAAATCCTACTTACAGTAAAGACAATCTCAATCTCTTCGTGTCGATTTTTTACCTCATTAAACTCCATGATGAAAAAGTTAACGGAAATTCAAACGTTAAAGCGAGTTTCCGAACTGTCGGCTAGCATGAGGGTCACCGTTCGATTGTTAATCCATATCAGACGAGCTAATCTCATTGGATTTAATCGTGCAACATCATTTATCGGGGCAGTACTGTACGACTTGATGCAGCGAATTTGAGAATTTCCTAGGCCAAACATTCCGCTACTTATTTGCTGTAATTTATAGAAAATTGTTTTAATTTTTTTTATCACAAAAAGAGTCTAATAATGATTAAATGTTTTTTTTTTTGCATTTTTTAATTTACCTGCCAGAAACACAGTTTATTTTCATTGCACGAATAACTAACAAGATATTTTCCTTCAGGAGAAAATGCTAATGCAGTTACTGGAACTTGGTGGGCTATGATGGACTGACACTTGACAGTACCTCGCAATTCGTAAAGAGCAATATGGCCCGTGCGACTACCAACAGCTATTCTGCGCGTTGCCGGATGATGGCTTACCTGAATCAATTATTATACATTATATAACGAGATTTTTAAAATTGATTTTTTGCCAAAGAAAAAGTACAACAGTACTTGATTAAATCTACAAATGGCTGGGAAAACGTCATTCAAAGGCTTGGTCTTCAAGTGTCCAGGATCCAGACAGTGCAAAATTATGTCCATCACCTAAAATTAAGATTTTTAATAATTTAATGCTTTTTTTCGTTGAAAATATTTTTAAACCCTTTTACCTTGATGACAACACAATCCAAAACATTTACTTACCTCTACCAACAAATCGCTCATCTCGTTTTGCATCTTATCAATGAGCTGCTCAACAATTCTCAGTATCTCTGGTTTTGCTCTGGCAAGTACATTGGCTCCCAGATTGACGTTGAGGGTCTGTGCGTTTTGCTGAAGCGTGTTATACCTAGCTACTTCTCTTGCCATCGTCGTAATAAAAGCAGCTGGTCGTGCAGTTGCAATCAAAGTTAGGGCATGACGAGCCGTTCGACAGCTGTCCGCAGCTGGAGTCAGCGGTAGGCCATAGGTCATGCTTGGCACAAGCTTATCAGCATCACAGCACATTTCCAGTAGGCCTAAGAGAACCTGGAAATAAAATGTATGGGTGTAATATTTCTGTCTTGAGCGAGATGAGTTGGATTAAAGTGAAAATGTATATATTTACTCTTGACACATCGAGATATGGTTCCCAGACGGTAAATCCACGGCCAATGAGATCTATGGCTGCTCGTCTCAGCGCCGTGTGCATCGGCAGCTTTGGCGAATGTTGTGCATACAACAGATGCGTCAGTGCCATACTAGTAAGTCTCGATAAATTGTTGTTTCCAATGCCAAAGCCTTCGACAACAGAGCTTTTACGTCTTTGATCATTGTCTTTCTTCTGATTATTCACAGCCACATCCTGTCCAAATTCAGCTCCAATGACACCCAACAACACAACGGCCGTAGTTTGCTTGCGCTTCAGTTCTGCGGCGCTCGAAGGCTTCCTCGATATACTCAATTCTATAAACATTTTTTGATTTAGCTGGAAAATTGTGACACAACAAATTTTATCTATAGATCAAAAGCACTTGCCTTCAGCAAGTTCTTCCTCTTCGTCGTCTTCTGGCTCTTGAAGCTCATGGTTGGGTGGAGGACTACCGGACGATGGACTTTGATTTTGAGGCTGCGGAGCGATAGGCTCCTGAGTACTGTACATTGGCAAATACTGTGCCCAATTATCCACCAAAGCTTTTCGACCCTTCGGTCCCATTCGCGCCAATTCAGCGAGCAAGAGGGCCTGAGCTGCTTCTCTTATCTGAAATATTTAATCAAAATAGAAATAAAAATGATAACAACCTTTTTTTGCGAAAAAAAAACATCAGTTACCTCGACACACTGGTGTTGCCAACGACGGGCCATCATTTCAACCTGAGGTTTTTTGAACGTCTTTGATCCTCCTATGGCAGAAACTTTGTCTGGCAATAGCACACAGTGTAAAGTAGCTAACAAGGACCAGCCTTGCTTGATTTGTGCCTGCTGCACGGTATACATTTCTTCGCTTTCCTCCTCCACCTTATTCCAATTGACTGGCCTATTTCCTGGCCTACAAACTCAGTGAAAGTGAAAATCAAGCATGATTAAGTAACAATAAAAAAAAAAACAGCCTCCAAAATATATAAACACCGACGGTAATTGTTAACAGTACGCATTAGCCGCGTGGTAATTGTCAAGCGAGCATCAGCACGTACAAGAAAAACGAGCGGGTTACGCGACAATCGCGCAGCTCGGAAAAAAAAAAAAAAAAGNAAAAAAAAAAAAAAAAAAAAAAAAAAAAAAAAAAAAAAAAAAAAAAAAAAAAAAAAACGATACCTGTGCATTTTCCGATTTCTTTCTTGTTCAGGAACAAACGTCGCATTATTCATCGACATGAGAGTATTGGACAGGGCCACCACGGACAATAAATGGTTGCTGGTCAGAGTGGTGGAGAGCTCCCAGTGTGCCCGCGAGGTGAAGGCTCGCGTCAGCCTTTCCTGCCTGACTAGTTCAACCGGTAGACGTTGCTCCAATTGTGTTATTGGCTCCTCGATTGCATGCTCCAAATGAGTTTGCCATGTGGGAAGCAAAAACGACATGTAGTCTAAAAGTGTAATATTCGCATTGGAGAACTTTTTCTCATTTCATGAAATGGTAAAAATTACGTGGAAATTCAAAGTTCACTTGCCTCCTTTGGACAGTACACCGAAGGATACGGGTACCATAGGTCTCAGCAGGCCCAATTTCCCTTCGCAGACTCTATCCAGGTCCGGATCTATACCCCAGGCATGGAGCAAACTAAGCAACAGCTGAGCTATTTCCATCGTCGTGTTTGGCTCGTTGAAGACTCCGTTACGTTTCAGAGAATTTTTACCGCCGTCGTTATTCCAGCCATCACCTGTTTATTGATGAAAATAAAAATTAATTGCTGGGTATTAAAAATATCAACAAAATCAGGAATTTATTAAAATGTCAGAAAAAAATCATTATTCAGTAGCAACAATGTAAAGAAAGATATAAATAACTATTACGGCTAAAGTATCAATCAGTGCTAATAAATCGAATATTAGAAACCAAATACAGATATATAATGTATTGGCATATTAAAACTAATATGTTTATGACTGTGCGAATGACAACATATAAGTATATTATAATGATAAAATATTCGGATAGAGGAACGTAATTGGCAAGTCCAAATAAAAACATTTCAACTTTTTTTTTTCATTTGAAAGAAATTCAACACATATGAACGTGCGGGGGGAGGGGTCAAATGAAGAATGCCACTTGTGATCAACTGAAATGAGCGGAATTAATGATCATTGAGTGTAGGTAATATGCATTTATCAACATGCCTTCAAAAAAAGTGGCGTCATTTTTTATGCAGTTTTTGAACGCAGAATAGTAATTTCCGTCACTAGTATTCATCTCCTCCAGGTCGACCATCCCTTGCGATTGCCCCGATAAGATGACGAATCCTAAGCTTTTCCTACCGAGGACGCAACAAATGCCCAATAAGATCACGAAAAACGCCCGAGGTAGGAAAAATATGTTGACTAGCCACTTTTTTTGAGGTAAACTTATATCGATATCATCCTTACAATAATACATAACAATAAATAATAATTACAAGCCAGACGCAGACAAAGTACATATCTCATGCTATACATTGAGAATTGAGGTATTTAGATATACGTGTACACTTGAACCGGTTGGATCTCACATTTTACCAATGAAAAAAATCTATTTTTTTTTTTTTTTTTTTTTTTAATGATTAAATAAAAGTAATTTTTCGATAGATTTCAATAGAGACTTGAGCCGCGTCAAGTGTACGTATAACTTGTTATGCCTGGGAAAAATTCGTACAGGTATACATGTCTAACTTATGTTCGTTGTGCGTGAACAAGTGAGTATATATAAGTACAATATAAAATAAGGTTTATGCCTGCCAAGCGAACGTTCAATGCTAACCTTTGCCTTCGAGTTTCAGGCCAACGCTCTCCACCTTGGCCTGAATTTTGGTTTGCACATTCTCCGCACCCTCCTTCATCTTAGCAATAATACCTATCGGAAAATCGTACCCCTTTAGTCACATGAAAATCCTCGCCACATTTATGTAAATATTTACAATTTGCAAGCACAAAGCTGCGTTAATAATTTTTTAAATGATATATACACACAGAGAGAGCTTTGCAGACAGGACTTGCAAATGTATACGTTTTTATTAAGAGATGCGGTATTTTTTGAAACTAATTGTTTCGTCCAAAAAGTTATTATACCAGTCCTGGCTTTAAAGCTGATTCTTCTTCAAACACTTCAAATAAATGAAAATTAAGCAACATCTAAATAAGTAAATCATAAAAGGATCGATGACAAAATTTTTTTTGGTAATTTAAATCATGAATGAAGAAAATATGCAAATATGAACATTTAGGATTACAAGTCCGTCTTTCTACATGTATCATCTTGCTCCCATAAAAAATTTGATTCGAGAAAACGTTAGAGATATAGGTGATGTTAAAATGCACTAAACTCAAAGCAGCTGAACGTGTATATGAGTATAGGACGGGGGAGCAGAGTTGGGATGAACAAATAATAAGTATTGGCAGACAACATTAAACTCTACGAAATTGCAACAACGTTGTACCGTGTCGGTCCTTTTCCTTTAGCACACGCTCCATGTCGCTCGCCTTATCCTTGACGCGACCGAAAAAGTCTATATAAATGTGTCACATTAGTCAATAATTCAGCTTACTATTTTTTTTTTTTTTTTTTTTTTTGAGCATGCAGCACACCCATTTTCAAGGTCTATTAGCCATCCTCGGTCTTAACCCTTTAGCAATACACTTTAATGTACTTCGAGCGAAGCACGAGCAATCATTTCAACCTTTCAAAAGCAGTAAGCAAATAATTTTCACCAAATTTATTTTTACTATGACGTGCATCTCTTTTTAAATTTACCCACTCAAAAGTACCTTGTGAGCTATTGCCCGAAATGAAAAAAGCTTAAAAAGAAAAATTTTGTTAATAAACAGCTAGAGATAAGTTCATCACGGGCAATTTTATCACCAAATATTTTCAATTAAAATTTTTTTTTTAATCACGTAAACGTAAAGTTATTTCAGAAAAGCGTAAAATAAATCTTTGACAAAAACTTGGTTTTTAAAGGGTTAAGCGTGGCGTAGGGTATTTCCATTGGCCTCACCTGCAATCTTCTTATGCGCATCAGGGCTTGCTGAGCGCGTAAGCGCAGTAACTTTCTGATACTCCGTGGTATTAACTAAGCCCTGAGCTTCTAGCGTTCCGGGAGTCATAGCCCCGTACTCATCGCTCAATAATTGGACTGTATGGACATTGAAAAATATTTATTTCGTAAAAGCACACTTAGGTCTAACAACACCGATAAGCCCAGCAACAACTTAAAATTTTTTTCCCTAATTTTTGTGCCATGCCTACCCTTTAGTATCCAATCAACTCGGAATAAATCCTGTAAAAAAATTAATTTAGTTTGAAATGGACTTTACCTATGAGGCCCTCGATGTCAAAGAAAAGAATGTGGCTCTCTGGATCCTTGGGGTTGCTGCGAAAGCCTTGAATCGTTAGTGGCGCTCCCTTGGCTCTGATGGTATTACCGTGATCATTTCCATGGCCCCCGTGAAGTTGTTGCAATTGATGCAGGCCTCGTTGCGTTGCGTGACGAATCGCCGATAAATTTCTGTGCCTCAAACCTCTGTAAGATTGCAAAATGTCAATAGAAAATTTGATGATTTTTTTTTTAATTTATTCACACTGTCGTGTTATACCTGAAAAAGTGGACTGCTGGATTCGCCAGGCCTAGATCTCCAGTTCCTGTGGCTCCAGATACCATCATAATATTCTCATCACAAGCAAACAGTACCTCTTCTGCAATAATTCCATGCAAAACTCGATCCAAATGACCTGTTTCCATTTGCCAAACGTAAACAGCTCCGTCAGAGCAGCCCACAATCATAAAATCATCAAACGGCCGCCACTTGATCGTAACCACGGGAAATAAATGACGCGAGGCCAAGACTACACATTTTCTTTCTGCCAAGGACAACAATGTTACACTATGATCCGAAGCTACGCTGCAGACACACTTTTGGATTCTTGGCTGTGCAGGACAAAATAAATGTTATTCCCTTGTTTATCTTTGAATTTCATCAAGATATGAAGCTTACACTGCAGTTGTCTGGAGGAACCAGTAGTTGTGTGATTTCACCAGCGTGAACACAGAAACGATGAATCAAAGTTCCAGCATACAAATCCCACAAGCAGATGGCAAAATCTACAGAACCGGAAACTAAATGCGACTTGTCGTATCTGGGTGACGCACCGTGAGGATACAGTAGGCAATTGACACGACCAGAATGGCCAAGAAGAACCTGGTGCGGAGGCCAGTCTAAAATTTCACAGGAAGTAACGATTTTTATTCATTTGTTCGAATGTTTTCTACTTTAGTTTGCTGTTTTTTCCATACCATCGTATTGCTGGTGGTTTCCATGCAAAAGTTGCAACATCACAGTCTGCGTCGCTGGAACGATTATTATACTCCCATCTTCTCGACCGACGACTAGTCGGCTCTGTTGGGGCAAATAAATGCTGGTAGTCAGCTTGATTCCGTGCCCGTCGCCGCTGTCCAGCTGATCCAAGATGCCAACTGGCGAAGGTTTCATTGCCTCCCAAGCCAGAGTCAAGCTCGTCTTGAGAGTTGGGGGCAGCATTGGCGGCGAGCCGTTTATTTGGTTCATCTGGGACAGCTGCTGGCCCGTCATCTCCGGTACCGTCCATAGCATCACGACTCCCTCGCTATCGCCGCGCAGCAGATACTTCACCGTTTTGTTCCCACGGTGTGCCGTAACCAGTCGCATCGCAGGTGGACACGACAGAGGCTGAGGAAACAGTTATTTAATCACGTCAACAAAAAGGCCACTGGGTATTTATACAAGATAAACGGTAAATTGTGTGTACCTTGTCACCAGGTTGAGTTAGCGTGCAGTATAAGTATGGTTGGTCGGATTCTGCCGATTGAGAATGGAAACTCTTGTTGTCCGCTACGCTGCTGCTCAACAAGTATTGTTAATCATTCTGCAGTTAAGTTTTGTTGAAGCAGCTGCTTTGGTATTTTAATGATGTCTTGAATAGTTACAAATTTTTTTTCCTTTCTTTCAAATAAGTAAGTATCTGTATGAAAATCTAGATCTTAAAAAACCAAAGTAGACAGCGTTTTGCAATAAATAGGCACATAGAATATCAGCAAACTCATCTTACTCTACAATAAAATACAATTGAATCAAACAAATGTACAATAAGAACCGCCATACGGATAAGTAAGTGTTCCATTGCGTATCTGTCTGACAGAAACTACTTGGAACCTTGCTACTTGCAACTAAAATCCACTGCGTAAAATAATAAAAATATTAATCAAAGTTAGAAAATAGCTTACATGCCATTCACTACATGCGCAAAAAGCAAGCAAAGCGAAAAAAATAAAAATAAAGTAAACGTCGATCATGTAATAAAAACAAAATGTGATCCAAATGCTGTGATTTATTATTTTACACTCGCAGAGTGAGAAGATGAGTACTACTTTGTCTGAAGAGAATTAAAGACAAGATTAACGCGTTAGGCGCGATCAAAAAATTAACAAATTCAAGAGTAAAAAAAATTAGCTATAACTTAAAAAAAAAATATAAAACTCTACCAATAAAGGAAAATCATTAAAACTTACATGGTTATTTGTAAGATACAAAATAAATACTCCATGTATCGATTATTATTAGTATTATTATTATTATTATTTAATGCCTTTTACGTATCAAACATTAAATAAGTAATCAAAATAAGGCGTATAAATTTTAGTAATCTAATAAAGTGGAAAAAAGTTCAAGGTTTACAGAGTACAAAGAGTCAAGAGAAGCTGGAGAGGAAGTAAGTATAGTATCTTAAAGTTAGTGAGATTTTAATTGACAATGCAGGGTTACCTGCTGATAGCCTTGCCCTTCAGCTTGCTATAACAGACCAGGTCCACCGTAGATTATGCAGATGTTAAATTTTTATGGAAAGTACATCATCGTGAAAAAAGAGACCAGCAATGCATTAATTAGGCTCTACCTGTATTTGTGACTCATGACGGTGCAAGCATGATAATATTTTAGAAATACATTTCATTTTTTAAATTATTATTGTTATTAATTACCATTATTTAATTCTTTTTCGTTACAACTCTTTATGTAATAATTAAATATCAACTTGACGACACTTTTCATGTAAGTTTTCATTTTTCATCAAAATTTCTAAAGTTATGGTTTTTTTTTTTTTTTAATGCACCATAACGATTTTTTAAATATAATGTAAATTTTTTTTAAAATAATAGTGAAAATTAATACGATCGTTATCGTTAGAGAAATTAAAATTGTATGAATATTATTTCATGATAATATATGTTTTTAGCGTTGTTATGCTCAAAAACAAATATGGGCAACAACAGAATGATAAATAAACTGTGCATTGCTAGCAAGTGCTTTGCTAAAAGTTAACAGCAAAAACTCTAGTAGAGGAAAAAAAACATACATATCAAAATTTAGTGTCTTGTTGTATGAATTTGTTGATATTAATATGATTAAACAACTAAATAAATCTAGCCCATTTCTGTTAGTTTACAAAGTTAGCTCTAGTCAAAACAAATCAGGAGCAATATACGTTAAAATTTAGTGAGAATTATGTAGTAAATACTTGTGTAGAACTACCTTTCAAGATGTGTAATAGCCCTACAACCAATAAAAAAATACAAAAATGTCAATTTATTGAAAGTCATTATGGTATTCAAGTGTCATTGTGTATTATTAGTGAGATAAAAAAGTTTTTTTTTTTTAATAATTTAAGAATCAATTTTTCAACCGTAAAATTTAAATGCATGTTTCTACTTGAAAAATTGTTTCTTGCATGTTTAGTATTGTAATCATAGAGCAAACTCCAAAAATTATAATTACGTTCAACCAAGTGACTTACTTGGCCGGTAGTTTGTATAAATAACCATGACCCTCGTCACTCCAGACAATGACGCGATCGGCGGATAGAAAATCGCCAGCCATCCATCTTTCTCCTCGAGGTGCAGTCACAGAGCAGAGAACAGAAAAGTCTCCAGCATCGTATATCTGTAACAAGATGTACACAAATTTTCATGTAAAGATTGTATACGTATAAAGCAAAAAAAATTAATGCCTTGATATTAAACGAAAAAATTCAACCAACCTGCCAATACTTGGAACATACTATGAGCACTGTTCGTTGATTATCCGGACAGCATATCATTGACAGTGCATTTAAACACCTAATTTGCTTGCTTTCGTTTTCGTACAAGGGTTCGCTATGGCGATTTTCATGCCCCGAAAGCGTCCAGACTTTGACGGTTCCCGTTGTCGTTAAAGCCAAGACGACGTCATCTTTAAATTATGTTTATTAAATGTTTGAAGCAGCACAAAGTACATTTTTCGCACCATTAATCAATTTTCAAACATCATGTATAAATTAATACCAAAAGATTTCTGTACAGTACTTATATTGAAAAAAAAAATAGTAAGCGAATTCTACAGAAACTTTGTTTGCAACTTTTCATCTCCAGACATGCACTACTAAGAATAATTTTTAAGCAAAAAATCGAGGCATACGATTTAGTAATAATCTATTTACACCTATTTACACGTGCAAATACACAAACACGTTTACATATACATTTATACAAGTATTCTTTCACAAGCAATAATTTAAAAGGTTTTTAGAATACCAACGAAAAAAAACAATGCAAAAAACGTACAGTACATGCTAAGCTTTTTAAGAAAAAGAATACAATAAAAACTTTTTGTGCAAAATTAATACCATCTGCAAATGCATCAACAGCATATTTTTACAAGCAATTTATCAACGTGGCCTTTGTTTGTGTGAAATACTATGTACACAAAAAGTATTACTTGGATAAGAGTATTTTATTTTTATTTCTCAATGTACTCTTGTTGATGTTTAACCGTATTTCATGTTCAAAATACAATAAGTATCGCGAAAAAACTCATTCCAGAAAAATAAATTATGCACATGTATAATGAAATAATAACGAAAAATTGGAAAATTCAAGTCATAAACTTAAAAGTCAACAAACTCAAACGTTTCCTCTCATAAGTATTGATAATTTTTTATTTCCTCGCTAAAATTCGCAAGCTTTCATGCTTATATAAACGTAAAACACAATTAATGTTGAATCATATATCTTGTTTAACGTTCAAAAATATTCATTGCACTATACTTACAGAGCATGTTGTTTTTGTAATAAATTTGTGTGTAGATGATTAATGAGTAGCAAGGAAAAGGTATTAGCTGGGTAAATAGAAAATAATGGTAGAAGTACGATACGATAAAGTAACATAAAAATTCTACATAAATGTTAACGCAATGATTCGTTAGTTTGTTAAATGATTGTTGATAAAATCGATTGAGTAAATTAAAAATGCTTTGAATATGATTTTTTGGTTTTATGAACAGCCAGATGATTAAAACCCGTTCAAGTATCTAGAAAAAATAGGAGTACACAGAGCAATTTCAACAACCAGCACTCAAGTACCAGTTTGATTCCGTTTCGATTACATGCTGTAAAATTATAATGTACATTAAAAATAGGTATCAAAGTAATATCAACCAGATCTAAAAATCTTCATTGTTAGGTATATAATTTTAAATAAAAAAAGATTTTATTTGTCACACTTTGTGACTCATATATAAATAATAGTTATAAGTATTGTCTATTCATCATAATTATAATAAACAGTGCATCCCATTGTTATACACACTTAAAATACTACCAATCAAATTATAAATCCATAAAATATGCTCAGTCATTATAAACTACTCATTATTAAATGACGCTTGTCATTAATAAAAAAAAAAAAAAAAAAAGATTTCAAAATTTCAATTATTTGCAATATGGTAAATATTAACTGTGCAAATAATACTCTACTAAAAAATAAAATTAAAAACTCGTAGGGAGCCAGGAGGACCAATGTAAAAGTAATAAAGGTAAAAAGCATAGGTGTGAATGAGTGTAAACTAACTTGTGTGCACGTAGAACCGACCTTTCCGTTGGGCCGGTCGAAGAACATGTACAGCACTAATCCAGTCTGGATTGACTTTTGAACTCAGAGTGAATAATATTTCTAAACTAAAAGGATCCATGACTAATACTTCGGGATAGTACCTGTAAGTTTTTAAAGTCGATGTTTGAGTTAAAAGAGACACAAAACAAGTATTAAAAATACAACTACTGCATACCCTGAACAGAACAATCTCACATCATCTCCTCCAGCAGAAACATAAGGTAAAATCTGTGTGTGAATGTAGTTGAGTTTGACATTTTCGCGACATTTTCCATCAACCAAATCCCAAGTGCACATCTCTCCACTTTCACTACTGCTCACTATAAAATTCTGCTCTTGGATAATACTAGCTCGAGTAAGGCACATAATTGGAGCTGTGTGACCCACTAGTAAACACCTTGGAGTCATCTGAAGAGAAAAAGTATTTCAATCACTCTCTTTATACTTACTTGGCATATCAATAGTTGAGCAGATACAAAAAGCATACCTTGAGAGTTTCAGGGTCCACTTGCCATAAACAAATTTGTCCATCGTAACAGCCAGTTACCAAAGTTTTTTGGTCTTTTGACAGATATATACATGAAATACAGTGTGTAGGGGCTATACGTCCCCACAGTACTATAGGTACAACCAAACTAGTACCAGCTGTCATGATTACTAATTCTAAAAACAATAAATAAAACATTCAACTCCATAAGATGACATAAAACACTTTCTTTCACTAGCTACTTGATCAATGACAAAAACAAACGTTAATAAGCGAGAGCAAACAAAATGGTAAGATAAACACGAGGACTCAATATATCAAAAAAAGGTTTGTATCATAAACAAGCGATTGAACGAACGGACGAACAAACAAATAAACAAATAAACGATGAACATGATTTACTGGACAACCTTGTACCTAGTTTCTTGCTTCACATAAAATGGCTCCAAGGATTGGATCAATAATTCCAGTGATTTGATAATTTGCCAGACTTATGACGAGAGTCGAGCAAACAGACAATTTCCGCACTACTACGTCCCGTGACTACTGTATTGCAGATCAACTCATTTTCCTCTCGTTATTCTCGTATAGTAGAATAGAACACTATCTAAAAGCACAAACACATCAGGCCATGCAGCAGTAAAGCATGAGCCAACTAGCCAAGTCAAAAGCAAAAGAGAAGTGTAGTTGTAGGTATAAGTACATATACATATATATTTTGTGTGTTTTTAACAGCTCTGAGCTCTGAGTCTGAGTCTGAGGAGCTCTTGATTCTCGCGATTCTCGACATATATATATATATAT